CATCCTGACTACCTACCAGACCACACCAACCCAACCCGAAGACCCGAATTTCGGGTTGGGGGGGGTAGGGGTTCCACACGTGTTTTTTCGACGTTTCCCGACCCCCCCCCCCACTGGAAATCGAGGGTAAATCTGAGCCTTCGGGTTGGGTTGGGGTGGTTTGGTGGGTGGTGACATCCCAGAGGGCACGGTGGAGGGGGCCCAGCTCAGGGGGCGAAGTGCTGGCATCGGCGACACAGCGCCGACACAGCGGCGACGGATGGGCGATGGGCCCCCGACAGCAACGCCGCGTGGTCTTGGGCGGGCTGGGCTGTCGGGCCCCCCGTCGGGGGCAGGGTTCACGCGCGAATCCTCAGTCGCTGCCTCCCCGTGGTCGACCCGGCCGAGCGGCGCGTCCACAAGGGGGGCGAGGGCGAGGGGGCAGGGCCCTCCACAAGGGCGTCCACAAGGGGGGCAGGGCGAGGGGAGGGGGCGTCCAAAAGGGGGGCGAGGGCGAGGGGGCGAGGGCGCGTCCACAAGGGGGGCGCGTCCACAAGGGGGGCGCGTCCGCAAGGGGGGCGACGGCAGAAACGGCAGGGGGCAGGGCGACTTCCGAAGAGGGCAGAGACCTTCCGAGAAGGAGAGCGGGCCCCTGCCGTCCGTGACGCCTCCGAGGCGGGCCTGCTGCGGCGGCGCGCACAAAGGGGGGTCCGGGGAGGGGGGGCAGGCTTGAGCGAGGCGGCTTCTTAGAGGGCTCCTGCCCCAGATCTATCGAGAAGCCCTGCGCCTGCCCCAAGAGGCAGGGGTGCTTCCAAGAGGCCTTCCCCTCTCCACCCTGCCCCCCTCTGCGCGTGGCGTCGGCTATCGGACCATAACTCGGGCCTCAGGCGGCCGTTTGGGACGATCCGAACACCCCCGGACCGCTCTCGGCGAAGCGCAGCTGCTGTCAAGCATCCCGAGGCTGGAAGACCGCGCCGACGAAAGCATCAGAAAGGCCTCGAACCTCGAACCAGAAGCTTCCCCTCGGCGCGTGGCTGGATCGAGCGCGTGACCCCCCTCTGCGCGTGGCCGACTGTCACAAATGATGCGAGTTTCTGAGCGTTGGGGTGCCGTCTCAGAGGGCCGCCCGCCCTCGCCTCGCCGGGCGTCGCTGCGTGCGTTTCTGGGCGTGCTCAAGAATGGTCGCCTGCCGCTGGGCCTCGCGTGGAAGGCAGAGCATGTCCCAACGTGTGGGGGGCCACATGCGAATCCTACCCCCACCCTCCCCCTCAAAGTCGTGGCGGGTCGGGGTAGGGTTCGCATGCGGCCCCCTACACGTGGACCGCCACGGGATCCATCCCACCCGGGCTGCGCCAGGACATCACGCCGGGCCCTTTCCTCCCGTGCTGGGACACGCGGCCCTCAAGGAGCGGTCCGACCCGACGCTGCGCACTCCCCTCCTCCGACGGCCGACCCCCTCTCTTCCTCCTCCCCCTCCTCCCTCCATTCCTCCCTCCTTCTCCCCCCTCCTCCTCCTCCCCTCCCCTCCTCCTCTCCTCCTCCTCCTCCTCCTCCTCTCTCTTCCTCCTCCTCCGCCTCCTCTGCACCTCCTCTTTCCTCCTCCTCCTCCTCCTCCTCCTCCTCCTCCTCCTCCTCCTCCTCCTCCTCCTCCTTCCCCCCCTCCTCCTCCGCCTCCTGCAACTGCACCTCCTCTTCCTCCTCCTCCTTTCTTTCGTTCTGCCTTAGGTCAAACCCCTAATGGGACACCCGCCCGCTCAGAAATTGTTGTGCACGATGCTATGCCAAAATCGTATCAGTGAATCCGCGCATGAGTCAAACGCCCGAAATTAAACAATGAATGACGACACTGGCGTTGATACACATGTGCCACGCCTCGCTAACAAGATCGCTTCTCCATCAAATTGACCTTCGAATATCCACGCTGCCGCTTGACACTGAATGTTCCGGGTGCCACCGTCGAACTGTAGGATGACATTTGCGTCGTTGACGTCCTGATCAGGCGGGAAAAATTCGTGCCACCACTCTTGGGTGTCCATGTTGTAATTGACCAGGTAGTAGGCTTTGCCCCTATAGCGAAGCCCGGCGGCATAAAACAGGGTCTCGTGATGCAGGGCGGGCGGCGTCATGCCAGCGATTTGCTTCTCCTCCTGCTCCTTCTCCTGCTCCTCTACAGCATTGTGGATACCTTCGAGTTCCAGCGGATTCCTCCTCTTCCTCCTCCATTCCTTTTCCTTATACATAACTCCTCCCTGTCGCACCCAGAGGCCAGTCGGACGGACAAGCCGGGCGTTTCGCCTGAGACTTCCTCACCACTCATGACCCTGAGCTCCATAGATGGAGGGCGGGAGGTTTTCAACATGTGGCACTCGCCTTAGCGACGCGCAAAGTGGTTTAATACAATTTGCAAGTGCTTCACGGATTGAGGGCGGATCCTTGTCAAAATGTGGCTCTCGCCTTAGCGCCGCGTGCACTCGCCGTAAACAGTTGCGAAGAGTTTCGCGGATTCAGAGCGGCTCCTGTTCAAGATGTGGCTCTCGCTTTGCAGCCGCGCACATTCATCTTGAACACGTGCAAGGGTTCCACGGATTTCCGAGGGTACTGCACCAGAATGGGTGTTTTGGCAAGTCTGGGTATTTCCAGGGCGCACCAGTTACGTTGATTCGCGGTGTTGAAGTCCCAGGAATGGCCTTCTGGCGCGATTCATGATCCTCAGGACGTAGCTGTCAAATTGATTCGTGGCGTTGAATTCCGAGAATGGTGTTTTAGCACGCTACAGGATCTTCAAACGGTTGTCTCCAGACGGGGCACTTCCCCCAATGGAAATGAGCACCTGTGGGGGCCCATGAAAAGGGAACGTGGAGGGAGGGTTCATTCCAACATCGTTGATGAGTCTGGGTGTACATTGATCCTCCTCCTCCTCCTCCTTTTTCTCACCTGCCTCCTCTAAATCCGCCTCCTGCTGCTGATCTTTCTCTCCCCAGGCCCACAGATGTCATTGTGCGGGCTGCTGCGTCAGCCCTGCGCCGCGTGTCAGTTGGTGCAGGCTGGCGGGGAGAACACGAATACACCGCCCCTCACTTCGGACGGGTGGCGATGGGGGCTACTCGAATGGGGGGTGAAGAAAAGGCCCACCCCTCATTCAGGTCCCCCCCCAATTACCACCAGCTCGAGCTCCTCACTGCAAGGGTCGGGCTTCATTTCATGCTTTCTCGTGCTGGTCTGCGATACCTCTGTCCGAAGTGTCCTACAGTCAACCCGTATCAGAAGGATGGTGCGGTAAGGATGCAAGGGCCCTGGAAGGCCATGTTGACGCTTTGCGAGCGGGGCGCGGCCATTGAAAGCGGCCAAGGATGGGCCGAGGAGGCAAAGATGCAAGGGTACCCCTGGGAAGGATGCCCATCCTTACTGTGCGGGTTGATCGTGTCCGATCCTCTTCCTCTGCCCCGTCCTCCCCCCCGAAGAAGGCGTCGCCGATCCTGGCCATCTCACTGCTGCATTTGGCCACGCAGGCGGCGGGGCAACGGGGAGGGCGGCTTGGGCCCTCGTGCCCTTCCGGAGAGGAGGAGCTGGGAGCAGGAGTCGGAGAGGAGCTGCGGCAACAAGAGGATGAGCTGGAGGGGGCGAAGCTGGACTGGAGAGGCGTTGGAGAGCAGGCCAGAGAGGAGGGAACGGATCGGTGAGGTCTTCGTGGGAACGACTGAGAGCTATTTGGGCCCGATGCAGGAGGACGCACGGGTCACGAATCGGCAAATTGTATATATGTATATACACTTCTCGATGTGTGCGCGCCAGCCATGCGCAAGGGCCGTGCCAACCTTCTCTGCATCGTTCCAAGATTAACGGATGATCCCCGAAGGGAATCCTGGAGCTCATTGCTCTTGACCTTAGAAGAAAAACATGGATCTGAGAGAAAGTCAGGAAAGACGGGTGGGAGAGCACCAGCTCCCGGATGAAACAGGGATTTCGAGAGCAACCGAAGGCATAACGTACATCAGCAACAGACAACGGACGAAAGTACCCTGGAGCGGACTGGTGGCGTCAACACGTGGTGGTCTGCCTCTGTGCGCCTCAATCACTACCCTCGAAAACGAAAGCCCCAGCAAATGTCGCTCACTGAGAAGGTGCTCCCACCTGCGTGAACGTTTGCCACGGGTCTCAGAGTTTGAGCTACCCAGGTGCAGATGTGCTAAACAATGCTAAACTTGACGCCGAAAGTTCGTGGCGCGTCCTGAGCACAAGCAGCCACAGCTGGGCCATCTGATTGCCATTCCTTCTCTTCCTCGTCGAACCTGCTTCTTCAGATCCTCCTCCTCCTCCTCCTCCCCCTTCACCACATCCCAAACTCCACCGCCTACGTATCCTCACCTTCCAGTCTCCTCCCATCTCGCACATCAACCTCCAACACAAAATCCACCTCCCCCCCCTCCTCCCCCTCCTCCCCCAACCTTCCCTGCCATCGCAAGCGCTGCCTAGACCAACGCCTGTATCTAAGGAGTACAGGCCGACTCGTCGGAAGGGAAACCGAAGCTCGACCAAGGGCGCGCACGAGGCAGTCTCCGCAGAACTGCTTCTCAGATGGATCAGAAGGCCACTTAGACGCGACTCTGGACCAGGAGGATGAGGGAGGGGAGGCAAAGAGGAGGCGCGCAGGCGAGGCGGCGCCGAGGAGGAGACGGGGAGAAGGCGAGGCGGAGAGGAGGAGGCGAGGAAGATCGGGAGGGGGAGGGGCAGGAGGAGGCACTGCACGTCGCGGAAGCGCTGACGGCGATGTATGGGCTGGCCAGGCCTACGTTCCCTCGAGGGGAGCGTCCATCTCTGCAAAGCGCAGGGGGCGGTGACCAGGCGAGAGCAGAAGCGCGGGTGGGAGGACCTCACTCTCGCTCCTCCTCTCTCATCCTGTCCCCTCTTCTCCCGACAGACACCTCCAGGGACCTCCAGGAAGGTCGGGACGAGAGGGCAGACCCGAAACCACGAGAGCGCCAGTTGTCGCACCTCCCCCACGGCAGCGTGCAGGCGGGGCGTCGTACAGGAAGGAGGTGTTCACCGAGGGATCTTTGCCGAAGGCCTTCCGCCTGGCGACGGCCAGGCCAGAGGGCCTCTCGGCATGCATCTGCTCAGCCTCTGAGTCTTCACCATGCTCACTCTCGGAGTATGCAACACCGTAACACCCTCGTCAACGGACTCGACGATCCGCAGAATGCAACTGCGATGAGCCGAGACTGCCCCCAAGCACGTGGCATCCAGGGCGTGAGTTGTTTCTCACACTTGTTCGGAGCATCGTTGCCGTGCCAGTGCAGCGCATGATTGCGACACTTCCCCGCATGAGTTGCTGCAAGACTGTACGTGTTCATGCATGCATGCTTTGCGCTTCCGTAGCCGCCGAGGCTCGAAACTAGTTGGGACGTGTTTCCCATGGGCTAGAGTCAGGCAGTGTTGTAAACATCGCGCATCCACAGCTTGTGAGCTCTTTGGTTTCATCGTGTTGCCCAAATCCACCGCTGTCACCGACATTCGCACGAACCCGATCGGACAACGATCAGCGAGCGAAGAACGGTATAAAATAAACTTTTTCGCTGTCGGGGGCACCTGCCCCTGGGCGGCTGGAAAGCTTATACCCTTAGGGTGGCACCGTAGAGGTATAAACTTTTCAGCCGCCCAGGGGCAGGTGTCCCCGACGGCGAAAAAGTTTATTTCATACTATTCTTCGCCCGTTAGAGCGACAGGAAACACCGCCTTCTGTGCCTGCGCGGCTCGCCGGGCGGGCGGCGAGGGCAACGCCGCGGGACGCACAGGAGAGCGAGGATGGAGAGTGGAGGGCTGTGGAGGGGCTCTGATGGGAAGGGCGAGGACGTGGAGGAAGCAGGGGCTCCCAACTTCGCGCTCCGCGCTGCGCGAAGCGCGAACTGCGAGAATAGCCTCGCGCTCTCGCGCCGCCTCCTCAAGGGGAGAAGAGGCGGATGAGGAGGAATCGCAGCCGAACCGCGAAGCGCGAACAACTTCGCGCCCTCGAGGGCGCCCTCTCGGCATCGCTCGGACGTCCTTTCCCTGTGTTTTTGTTCGGTTTCGTGCGTGGTTTTTTCGCCAAGTGATAAAAGGATGCTCCTCGATGGTCCTCGCCGAAGGACAAATGCACACGTCCGAGCGATGCCACGCCCCTGGGGAAGAGAACGGGGAAGGCGAGCGCGCGGATTCCCGGGCCGCCCCCAGGGGGGCTCTCGCGGGCAGAGGGTGGGAGCCTCGCCGCGCTCCCGTGGGAGCTGCCGGATGCCTCTTGCATTATGTCGGGCCCGTCCCCCCTACAGGCGGATTTTGGATCATGTCGGGCCTGTCCCCCTACAGGGGGATTTTCGACGAAAAATAATTCTTTAAAAAATGATCAAAACATAGTCCAAACATAGTCCGGGGACTATGTTTCTAAAGTCATGTTTGAACTTCTTGGGGTATTTTGGGGGTATGTTTGCATTTTTCGTCGAAAATCCCCCTGTAGGGGGACAGGCCCGACCTAAATTTTGGACGAACAGACAATATATATATATATATATACACATTAAAAAGAAACGTCCCCCGTCGATTTGTTTGCCGATGTTCGAATACTCCCCCCTGTCAAGGGACGTGCCCGACTCAACTCCTGGAACCTCTTGTGTGCCCCTGAGGGAGGGGTAGCTCCGAGAGCCTCCTGGGCCATCGTGGGCTGGCCCAGGCGCTTCTCCGGGGTCTGCGGGGGCCCTTTCGCTTCGAGCCTGCTCCTGCGGGCCTCCCGATGCCATCACGCGCCCTTGCCGCGGGCGACCGCCCGCGGCCGCCCGGGGCAGGGGCGCCGCTCTGGCCGGGTCGGTAGCAAAGGGGGGGACAGCACAAGGGGGGCTTTGAGACTGAGCTATCGTAGAGCTGACTTCTCGCGGCGCCTCCCTGCGCCGGGAGGCGGCTGTGCATCGAGAGGAACGGGCCCCTCGGAGGGGCCGAAACCAGCTGCATGCAGCAGATTTCGTACCCCCCCCTTTCCCTCGGGGATCTTCTGACCCGGGTCAATGCAGACCCGGGTCAGCAGGAAACCAAAAAACTGCAATGCAGGAAACCAAGAACTGCAGTGCAGGTTTTCGCAAACCTGGGTCAGCCAACAGGCGCGGCCGCCTCGCGGCCGCGAGCGGCTCGCTATAACCTGGGTCAGCCAGAGGAGGTCTTCGCAGGATCCTGCAGGATCCGGTGCCCCAACTGACCCCCGTCTGCACTGACCCCCGTCTCCCAGGCCCCGATTCCCGATCCCCCCCCTTTCTTGCCGTCGCTCGGACGTCCACTTCCCGTGCATTTGTCGGTTTGTCGTGCGTGTTTTTCTCGCTCGATGATCCAGGATGTCCCTCAAAGGGTCCTCGCCGAGAAAAAAATACACACGTCCGAGCGATGCCAGGGCCTGCCGGGGGGAGGGAGATGGAGAAGGAGGAGGAGGAGGAGGAGGAGGAGGAGGAGGAGGAGGAGGAGCGAGGGCGGGAGGAGGAGGAGGAGGAGGAGGAGGAGGAGGAGGAGGAGAAGGAACGAGGGAGGCGCAGGGGGGCCCGCGGAGGGGCTTCCGCCCGGCGCCGCTCTGGCGGCGCATGGGGCGCCCGCGGAGGGGCGCGAGCGAGGGCCGGGGCCCCCACGGGGGCCCTGGGGCGCTCCCGGTGGGCGGCGGGGCCAGCGCGGGAGGGCGCCCAGGGCCCCCCAGGGGCCCCCCACGGGCGGGCCCTCCTCCTCCTCCTCCTCCTCCTCCTCCTCCTCCTCCTCCTCCTCCTCCTCCCTCCTCCTCCTCCTCCTCCTCCTCCTCCTCCTCCTCCTCCTCCTCCTCCTCCTCCTCCTCTCCTCCTCCTCCTCCTCCTCCTCCTCCCTCCTCCCTCCTCCCTCCTCCTCCTCCTCCTCCTCCCTCCTCCGACTCCGCCTCCTCCTCCTCCTCCTCCTCCTCCTCCTCCTCCTCCTCCTCCTCCTCCTCCTCCTCCTCCTCCTCCTCCTCCTCCTCCTCCTCCTCCTCCTCCCCCCCCCTCCTCCCCCTCCCCCCTCCCTTCCCTCCCCTCCTCCTCCTCCTCCCTCCTCCCTCCTCCCTCCTCCTCCTCCCTCCTCCCTCCTCCCTCCTCCCTCCCTCCCTCCCTCCTCCCTCCTTCCCTCCCTCCTGGGGCATTGGGGATGGCAACATCGACTCCCGACCTCGATGCTGCCTGCCCGGGCCCGGGGGAGGAGACCGAGCGATCGGCGGCGAGCGCCGGGCGGGGAGGAGACGAGGAGGGGCGGGCCTCCCCAAGAGGGCCCCGGAGGATCTCGGGGCTGCGGGGAAGGCTTCCCGAGCCTTCCTCGAGGACGCGGAGGGCTGGAGGGCTTCTGAGGAGCCCCGCCGCTCTGACGTCGCTCAGGCCGCGAAGCGTGGCTGACTTCGCACCCTCGTGGTGGCCCTAGAAAAAGAAGGGAGGGGGCAGGGGGAGAGGAACGAGGAGGAGGAGGAGGAGGAGGAGGATGAGGAGGAGGAGGAGAGGGGAGGAGGTGGAGGACTGTGTCGCGGATGAAACCTCTCAGGCTGCGGGCTTGCCACTCGCACAGCAACCCCGGGGGAGCGGGGCCTGGCAAGTGCGAGGGGCCGACCTCGCGACCTAGAGGGGGACACGGCGAAGAGCTGCGATTCTGAGATGCTTCGTAAGGAGCATCGGTCGATGCTCCACCTCTCGATCGTAAGAGGAGGCGGCAAGTGACGGGGCCCAGGGACACACAAATCCACCAGCCCCCTTGCGGGGCCACCAGGCTGCGAGGGTGAGGATTGCAGCTCCCTGTTCCAGATGCACTGTCCAGTTTCCAATTTTACAGTCCTGCTTTCTGCTTCTTTACTGCTACTTCTTGCTGGCTGCGCGAGGGGGAAGATCCCCAAATGAGCTTTTTTACTACGCCCAAATCGCGTTGTCTGAATTGCTGGGGGGGCGTGGGACACGTAAAACAGTTGATGTTCGCGTCCCCGAGGCCATTACCCCGAGTACGTTGGGCCATACTCGCGTCCCCGAGGCCATAACCCCTCGAAAGTTACAAACATATTCGCGCCACCGAAGCCAGAATCCCTCGAAATGAATGTATGCGATATTCGCGTCCCCGAAGCCAGAAGCCATCGGAAATTACCTGATACTCGCGCACCCGAAACCATGCAACCAGGTAAATTACTGAACATTCAACCCCCGAAGCCATACACTTGACGATGCGTTTGTTTGTTTAAAATGCGCGTCTCCAGGGCCATAAACCCTCGTAAATTGCACCCTACTTGCGTCCCCACAGCAACACACCCTCGCAAATGCCACCGTGCTCACGAGGCCATACGCCCTCGTAAGTCACGCAATACTTGCGCCCCCGAGGCCACACTTGTAAAGTATACCATACTTGCGTCCCCGAGGCCACAAACCCTCGTAAACTATAGTATTCGCATCCCCGAAGCCATCAGCTATCGTAAATTACATAAGGGTTCGCGCCACCGAAGCCATAAACCCATGTAAATTAATGTCGGCCTCGCGTGAAGGACCGATACTGCTTCACGTCAGCGTCCAGACATCCCAACACAGCTCTGGCACGTCCCACTCTAAGGGAGGTGGGCCAGCGGCATGGGGGCGAAGCCCTTTCGGATAAGCATACACAAATGCCACGATCTCCCATATTGCCTGGAAGTTCGTCGTCCCCTCCACTTCCAACACTTCCAACTGATTCATATTTCCAAGACAAACCGCCGACCCCTTGCGGGTCTCTAGGCCCTAGGCGTGTGAGATAGTTCCCCCCCCATAATGCCCCCCCCCCCCCCCGGACCCCAAACCGGCAATTCGACCCCCCCCCGGGCCCGGCACGACCCCAGACAATGTGCGCCACGGGGGGGTCCAAAATGAGCCATGAAGACACCAACACGCCTCCCAGACGGCCCAAGAGGGCCACGAGTCGCCGAAATACCACTCCAAGACGCTGACGATGGTCTCTAGACAGCTTCCGATGCTCCCCAAACACCCCAAGAGGCCCCGAAAATGCATTCCAAGAGGGCCTCCCCCGACACGAAAATGGTCCCATTCCCTCGCCTTTCCGGCTATCCGACCGCCCGGAAGGCCCCATGACCGCCCCAAGACAGCCCAAGAGCCCCAAAGCAGGCTCCACGACGGCCCTGGAGGGCCCCAAGACGGCCCAAGAGGCGAGCTTTGGGGGCGCCGCCGTGGGGGCGGCGGGCGGCGGCCAGAGACCCTGGCGCGCAGCGCACCCGGCCGTGCCCACCGAGAGCTGACGCACAAGGCGACGCAGCCTCGGCAGCGCCAGCTCGGTGCTCCCAGACTCTCTGTCTCTCTCTCTCTCTCCTTGTTTGCTCTCTCTCCGATCTATCGATAGATCGATCGTACGATCTGCGACAAGGACGCACGATGAGGATGCGATGGACTTGGAAGGCCATATCAGCACTCTGCGAGCGGGGCGCGACCAGCGGAAGCGGCCAGGGATGGGCCGAGGGGGAAAAATGCAAGGGCAGCCTTGGCAAGTCGCTCATGCTTACTACAAGGCAGTTTGTTTTTAATACATATGATATTTAAACATATCTGATGTTTAATACTGCTTAACTTATGAATGAATGTATGCATGATATCATCGTTGTTTTTAGTACTAAATCCCTGCATGTTTAATACATGATCCGCACGCGGAGCATGTATTAAAAATGGCACTGTATGCGGTTGGACTGTATTCTCTGGCCGCCGCCCCCTCCCCAACCCACGTCCGCTGGCAATTCTCACGGCCCGGGCACCCCACGAGGTGGCATGACGGGGGCGGGGAAAAGAGCTTGCCTCGACAGTGGTCCACAAACGGTCTGCATCGTTGATCGTGCACTGCCCAGAGGTTCCCCACAGGGGAGTAGCTGGACCACAACATGGCTTCGGCACCGCGCTACTTGTTCCTGGGGGTTGCGCTCCCGCCAGGGCGCGTCACACCTTCTTCGCCCGCCAAGTCGTCGACGAGCGCACGGACGAAACTGTCACTGTCGTCTCGGCGCCACGCAACTCTCGCCTGACAACGGCGTTCCCGCCTCGGCGCGGCGCATGATTCGCTTAGAAGTGGCCTTCCACAGCAAATCGTATTGGAAGTGAGGCCGCGCGAGAGCTGGAGCTGGCGAAATGCTGATCTCACCCTGGCGCCGCGATGTTTGTGGGTGGCAATGGCAGTGCCGTTTCGGCGCGACGCATGCGTCGTCTTCGCCCTGGTCATCGGACAGGTGGCCGACAGAGGCATGGCTAAACTGCGCCCTCGCCGCAACGCCGCGCACGGATGCTGCTGCAGCCCCGCTGCCGCAGGTGTGGCGCGGCCTGCGGCACAACTTTCCTGAGATTCCTCGCGAACCCGTCGGAAACGACAGCGCGAGAACACCGTCCGCTCGCCAGGTCGGAACCGGTCAAGTCCCGACATCAAGTTGCGCCCCCGTTGAGAACAGTGTGGTGGACAGGACGGTGGGCATGGGCGGGGTCCGCCGACTCGCTGGAACAGGCAGCATTGGCGCCTGCCCCTGCTCTTCCTCATCTTCCATCCTCTTCCTCGTCCTCCTTCGCCACTTCAACCTGCTGCTACTCTCCTCCTCCCCCCCTCTCCGCTCGTCCCCTTCCTCCTCCTCCTCTGCCTCCTCCTCCTCCTCCGCCTGCTTCCCCTCCTCCCCCCACCCTCGATGTCCGATCCCTCTCTCCTCCTCCTTGTCGTCGACCTCCTTGTCCCCCTCATTCTCCCTGTTTCCTCATCTTCCTGCTCCTTATCACCATCATCGTCTGCCCCGTTCCCTTCCAACAGTTCCTAGGCAGTACACGCTTCCTCTGCAGCAGAACCTCCAACAAATGATGAGTAGACCATCCTGGCGTGAGTGCAGCAGGGGGCACCTCGAGCTCGACGCCTTCTCGCCGTCCTCGTCCGAGGCAGAGTCGGCCTGGGAGCAATCACAAGTGAATGGCCCCTCCCGTGGCATCAGGGCGCTCAAGAACAAAGGCTGATACTGCCATCCCTGAGCCAAGCAATGTTTGCCAACGCGGGCCTAAAATACTTAGTGGCTCTTGCATTCTCCATGTGCAATAGTTGTGTCGCACTTAATAGTGGGTGCAATCTTCACAATGCAATCAGTGCGGTCTGATCTACACGTTGCAGCCAATGTGGCGCAATGTGTGGAATGGAATGTCTGCTGTCACACTGTGCAATGTGATATGTGGTGCAAGCTGCTTGGTGCAATATATGAAGTGCATCCTATGGAGTGCAATCGATGGTACGTCAACGCGGTACAACATAAGTCATGCAATCGACCGGTATGAATGAAGCTACGCAGTGCAACCAATGTGGTGCAAGCTATGCGCTGTGGTGCAATCAATGTGTGTATCCAGAAACGCCAGTCACAGTACCAAGACATCCGGCTGCTCCGATTTTTTCGATGCGCGGGCCAGGGAGGTCTGGACCACTTCCCCGGGGCCCGTTTCTCGTCCTGGGTCCTTTCACGGTCCCAAGGCCCGGCGAAGGCCCCTGGAGGCCGAAAACAGCCAAAAACCCAACGCTCAGAGAGTCGTATCATAAGGAAAAGGACTGAAGGCAAAAAGGGAGGAGGAGCGGAGGAGGAGGAGGAGGAGGAGGAGGAGGCGGATGAGGAGGATGCGGGCGAGGAAGAGGAGGAGAAGAAGGAACGCGTTTCTTTATGTTCGGCGATGACGGGCGTCATGGGGGGGGCGGGGGGGGCGAGGGGGGGTATGACGTAACGCCCCCCCCGCCGTGGGGCCAGGCGCCGGAGCGCGCCAGGGGCGGCGCCGGAGGCGCCGCCGGGGGGCCCCAGCGCCGATCCGAGAAATCCGCGCGGATCTCCGAATTTTTATGTTCAGGCCACTTTTTGTTCCCCTACCCTCGCCCCTCGCCCCAAAGGGAGGAGAAGGAGGAAGAGCACGGGGAGAAGAGGGCAGCCCACCTCCGCCCCTCCTCCGGATCCACAGCCGAGGACGCGCGAAGGCCTCCCTCTCCTCCCCGCCTCCCGCCCGAGGGTGAACGATGGGGGTGCGAACTGGCTCGGCGGGGTGGTGGTTCAAAAAGATTGAAGTGGCCCTGGGACGCACAAATAAATACACACACAAATCAAAGGATTCTGTATATTTTCCCATATTTTCTGAGTTTCTGTCTCCCCCCCCACTTCCCATATTCTCCCACATCTTCCTGGGGATCGACGATTGCTTGTGTCTGTGTGCTCCTTTCCCTCCTGAAAGATGGGGCCCTGAAGGATGGGGCCCCAAGGGTGCCTCGGACAGCCTGGACCCATCAGTGGATCCCTTCCTATCCTCAGGACCCCATCCCTCAGGACCCTCTCCTTGATGCGCCGAGGGGGGGGGGGGGGGGGAACGTCGGCCCGGAGCCCGCGGAACGTGGCCGCCGGATGGGCGACGGGCCCCCGCGAGCGACACCCCGCAGCGCCTTCTGGGCGGGGTGGGCTATCTCACGCCCCTGTTCGGCAACCGAATGGGCGGCTGGGGATCGATGCTCTCCCCCCTGGGTCGTCGCCTGGCTCTCGGGCCACACCCAGAACCCCGACGTCATGATTCTTTCATAACTTCTAAAGGGCCCTAGGACACACACACATAAATAGACTTAAGTAACAGGACTCCCCATATTTCCTCATATGTTCTGGGTTTTTGTCATCCCCCCCACTTCCCATATTTTCCCATACTTTCTGGGAGTGGACGATTCATTGTGTCTGTGTGTGTTTTTCCCCTCCTGAATAACGTCGACCCTCGGCGGAGCTCCCGACCCGTTCCCTGGGGCCAGCTTCTCATCCCGAGTCGTGCTTGGACGGCCCCGAGGCCCGGCAAGGGGCCCCCAGGGGCCGCAGACGGCGCCAAAAGCCTCCCGCCGCGACTTGTGTGAAGTCGGGCCTGTCCCCCTGCAGGGGGATTCTCGACGAAAAATAAAAAACTCCAAAACATACCCGAAAAAAAATTAAAACAAAAAAGATGCTCAAAAATAGTCCCCAGACTATTTTTGTTTTACTTTTTGGATATTTTCCCTGTAGAGGGACAGGCCCGACTTACGACTTGATCCACGGGTCGAGTCGGGAGCGGCCAAGAGGGGGGTGTCCAAGAGGGCAAGAGGGGGGGTGCAAATCATGACCGGCGGCATGTGCGCGGCCCAGCGGGGGGGCCAGGGACGTAATGAAATAAGAAGAGGCGCCGTGAAATCCAGGGAAATATCATGGCCCCCGCCATAATATCCACCCCCCCCTAGACATCACCCCCCTCTTTGCCGCCCCCGATCGAGGGGGTCTGCGTGCCTCGGGCCTCTGGCAGCCGCCCGGGACGCTCGCGGGCCCCTCGGGAGGCCTCTGGGCGAGGCGCAGCTGCTGAAGCGCACCGCCGAGGGAGCCGACGACCGCCGTCGCCTGCCCCCATCCCCTCCTCCTCCTCCCTCCTCCTCCTCCTCCTCCTCCTCCTCCTCCTCCTCCTCTTCCTCCTCCTCCCTCTCCTACATACGGGGTGGTGGTGGTGGAACATGGGCCCAACTCCCCTCCTCCTCCACCCGTCCGGCCCCCCCCCCCGCGCGGGGAGCCTCGTCCTTCTCCCCCTCCTCGTCGCTGTCGGCGTCCGGGTCCTGCGGCTCTTCGGGAGGCGGAATCCCCGGGGGGGGGCCGGGCCACGAGGCAGAACGATCGGCCAGGGAGGCGAGGGCAGGGCAGAGCGGCCCAGAATCAGCTTCATGGACCCCTCCTGGGGCCCATCTCGATGGACTTGTTCTCCACAACCGCCACAATAAGTTGGAGGGGGAGTGGGTCCTCCTCCTCCTCCTCCTCCTCCTCCTCCTCCTCCTCCTCCTCCCTCCTCCACTCACTCTCCTCCTCCTCTTCGTCCTCCTCCTCCTCGTCCTGCTCCTCCTTCCCCTCTCCCGCTCATGGTGGTGGTGGAAAACAGGCCTATCACATCTGATTCAGTGTTTCATCCCAGATCCGTTTCCGACGGCGCCAGGGCCCGCAAACTGCCCCTGGAGGCCAGAAGAGGCAAACAGTATTCTCGAACCCAGAGCCTCGAACATACTCCCCCCCCTGCTGGTCGCGAACAGTGTCGCGCCGTGTCGACGATGATACATCAGCAATGCATCGGCGGCGATGCAACGGCAATGCATCGGTGATGCATCGTCGATCCACATCGAGCCGCATCGCCGATACATCGGCGATGCAGCGCGATCCTACGACCCCTTCCACTCGGACCCCATCTGGGAGGCCCAACTCCTCCTCCGCCTCCTTCTCCTTCCCCTTCTCCGCCTCCGCCTTGGAAGCGATCGCCTCCTTTGGGCTCACGCTGGCCAGAGCCCAGTCGTTGGGGTCCCAGGTTTTAAGTCGGGCCTGTCCCCCTACAGGTGGATTTTCGATGGAAAAAAACATATCCCAAAAATAGTCCAGACTATGGTTTGACTATTTTTGGACCTTGATGGGGTATTTTGGGAGTATTTTTGATTTTTCGTCGAAAATCCCCCTGTAGGGGGACACGCCCGACATAATCCCAGGTTCAGGAGTCTAGCGCTCGGCGAGAGCAGGGGCCGTCACGCACGCGCTCTGGAAACTACAGCTCGGTGTGACGCACCTGCGGCTGGGCCCCGCCTCTTCCTCCTCCCGCCTCTGTTGGTCCTGCTGTGCAGCTCTCTCTCTCTCTCTCTCTCTCTCTCTCTCTGCAGCGCCACGACCATTGTCCCCATGGACTAGCATCGCCTCCAAGTCAGTGGTATGGGGGAAGCTGTCCGAAGACGTCTTTAAACAAATCCTCCTCCTCCTCCTCCTCCTCCTCCTCCTCCTCCTCCTTCTCCTCCTCCCTCTCTCCCTCCTCTTCCTCCTCCTCCTCCCTCCTCCTCCTCCTCCTCCTCCTCCCCTCCTCCTCCTCCTCTTCGTCCTCCTCCTCCTCCTCCTCCTTCTCCTACGCCTCCTCCTCATCCTCCTCCTCCACCTCCTCCACCTCCTCCGGGGACTCCCCGGTACCCGGGGCGGATGTCCGGGGGGACCCTCCTCCACCCGTCGGCCACCTTTTGGGGAGCATCCCGCCGCCGCCGCCGGAGGCTTCCGCCGGCGGCGCCGCTCCCCGAGGGCCGGGAGTGAAGGACATGTTTTCCACCACCACTTCCACCACCACCAGAAGTCGGGGGAGGGGGTCCTCCTCCTCCTCCTCATCTTCGTGCTCCTCCTCCTCCTCCTCCTCTTCGTCCTCGTCCTCGTCCTCGTCCTCGTCCTCGTCCTCCTCCTCCTCCTCCTCCTCCTCCTCCTCCTCCTCCTCCCTCTCCCACATATGGTGGTGGTGGTGGAATATGGGCCCATCAGGGAGGGGATGACCAGGCCACCTCAAGCCAGGACGGCAAGAGACCGTTTTGGGGGGAATCGGCGATAAGCCGGATTGTCCAGGGTGGGGGATCTTCCGACCCAGGTCAATCAGGACACGGGTCCGCAAGAAACAAAAAAACTGCAATGCAGGACAAAAAACTGCAGCGCAGGGCTTCGCAAACCCGGGTCAGCCAATAGGCGCGGCCGCCCCGTGGCCACGAGCGGCTCGCGAACCCGGGTCAGCCGAGGGAGGTCTTCGAAGGATCCTACAGGATCCGGTGCCCTGGCTGACCCCCGTTTGCGTTGACCCCCGTCTCAAGGCTCCCGACAGGGTGGGGGGGAGGAGGGGGCCGGCCGACAACCCAACCTTCGCGCTGTGGGCAGCCCTGCATATGCCCGCGCCCCCCCACCCCGGATCTGCACAACCGGCAAGGTTGATGGGGGGGGAAGGGGCAAGCCCGATAGCCTGGGTTATCGCCGGACCCTAACAAAAAAACAGTCTCTGGGACAGCGCCTTGGAAGGGTCGGGAGGCGATCACGCCGAAGACAGGCAGGGTTCAACACGTCATGCCTTCGAGGGTTGTCTCCTTGGCCTTCGCACGTTCAATGAGGGCAGACATTATCTGATCATACTGTGGGGCAACATCGATAAAAAACCGAGGGGGGCTAGAGGCGAAGGCGGAAAAGGAGGTGACTCTTCAGTGAAGAGAGCTTGGCGCCGAGCTGAAAACGTCTTGAGGGCCATGGCTGAGCCAGCGGACAAAAAGACCACAATTGATAGCCCCGCCGCAGAGGACAAACAAATTGTCCTTGAACGAAAGCTTGTTTCCGTTCACCTTGCGCTGCAAGCGAATATGCTTGTCGCCCTCGGGGAAGTGGAAGAAGGGCAGAGAAGAAATGCGTACCGTTGTCTCCCTCCTCCTCCTCCTCCTCCTCTTCCTCCTCCTCTTCCTCTCCCTCTTCTGCCTCCTTCTTCGCCACCCCCTCTGCATTCAAACCTCGTACTCCCGTCATCCATTTTCAACGATTGACGCCCCTGACTGGCAGGAACGTCGTGACGAGGACGAAGAGGGAGGATCAAGGGGGGAAGTTGAGGAAGAAGGAAGTGGTGGAGAATTGATCTGCACGAGGATGACATGGGACAATTACTCCTGCATCATGGCGTCGCTCCTCTGCCTCTGTCATTGTCCATGCCTCTGCATGCTGAATGCTTTGTACTCCAGTCATATGTTTGTCCTATTGTGCCCGCCCTAAGAGATCCTGACTGGCAACATTGTCGCAACGAGGATGAGAGGGGAGGAGGCGGAGAATGGACCCACATGAGAATGATATCGGATAATTGCAATCGTCGTCAAGGTTTCACTCCCTTGCTGACCCTCGATCAAACCCTCTTCCACACCACAATGATAAGCAACCGCTGCTAAGCAAGGACCGGCCATCCAAGCGTTCCGTAGGCCCACCACGGAATGCGGTTAAAACTGATAAAAAAAGGTTCTGGCATCACAAAAAAATCTTAGAACATTGAACTGGTTGATCAAAACAAGACTGTCTCGGCCAGGAATCGTCTTAGATCTGAGAATCTTCTGTGCAAGCCACAGAATGTTCTTAGAAATTGGCAGGCCTACAGGCAGGTCAGGATGCTTCGCCATTGCTGAAAGCAAGAGGAGGGAGGAGGGAAGTTGAGGGAGGAGGTGGCGGTTGGAGCTGCATGAAGATGGTTTGGAAGAACTACAGCTGTCATCAAGATGGTACTCTTGCTGTCCCTCGCCGACGCCTCCCTCCACACCCCGATCAGAGGTGACCGCTTCGTGCTGCCGCCGACAACTATGAGTGCGGCCGGCTCGCCTTGCCCTTCGCCTGCACGCCAGCGATGAGATCATCGATCGCCTGGTCAGAGCGACTGTTACGCTGAGAGCAGAAAGCATACGCTTAAAGCAACTGCTACGCTTGGACGCGACCACGAGAAGACACAAACACACACACACACATACACATGAAGCCGCACCTGGGCGGCGAATTGGCAAAGAAGATACTGCGAACTCGCACATGCAGAGAGAACAGAACATCGAACACACAACGAACACGCCATGCGAGGGGGGAGAAGTGCGTGATCACCAGACAGTCTTTGTGATTGGTGGGTGCGCTGTTCGGAGAACCTGCAGGCGAGAAGCGCCAGGGAGGGGAAGGGGGAAGAGGAGGAGTGGCTGGCGACCGCAGGAGGGCCTGGATGTGTCGAGTGCTCCTGCTTGGGGGGGAGGCACCTTCACAGATGCAGCGGAGGGAGAGGAAGATGAAGACGGAGAAGAGGAGGAGATTGAAGGACAAAAATGACTTGCAAGCAAAACCTAACATCACGACAACAACTCCCACCTGAGAGGCTCCATATCATATCCCCCGTTATATGTATATCTGGCCATCGCTCGGACGTCCATTTCCTGTGTTTGTTTCGGCTTCGTGCGTGGTTTTTTCGCGAAATGATCAAGGATGCTCCTCGATGGTCCTCGCCGAGGAAAAAAACGCACACGTCCGAGCGATGCCAAGACATTAGAAGCAGAACAGAGCAGAGTGGAGTCGAGTTCACCCCAGTCAAGTCCAGTCTACTCCAGGCCAGTCTGCTCCGGTCCACTCCAATCAACTGAATGTCAGTTTACTATTATAGTTGGGGCCTGGGCTGGCTGGGATTTGAGAAGTTGGAGCCCCACATAAACATCCTAGGCCCCCTCCAGGGCCAATGGAAATTTGAATCCAAATGACATCCAACCGGAATCCAGTTGTCATATCCTGGATCTGCGATCTCCTTCGATCCACTTGGAATGCTTCAAGAATTGATTGAAATCCAAGGTAGGAGTTCTAAATCTGGGATGTGGTCCATTCGAATTGGGATATAAGTGGAACCCGCTTGGCATCGACTTGCAAGCCTCCCTCCCGAAAGGTCCAAAAAGCCCGCAGGGGGAGGCTCCCGCCTGCGAGGTCCTCTCAAACCCAAACAGGAGGTGGCCCCCGCCTGAGAGGTCCCCCAACAAAAACCCAGAAACGGGAGAAGACCCCCGAGTGAGAGGTTCAACAAAAGCGCCAACAGGAGGAGGCTCCCGCCTGAGAGGCCCCGAATAACCAGCCAGGAAAAGGCCCCCGCCTGAGAGGCCCCAGAAGCAAAAGAAACAGGAGGAGGAGGAGGAGGAGGAGGAGGAGGAGGAGGAGGAGGATGGGAGGGAGGAGGGGAGGAGGAGGAGGGGAGGGAGGAGGATAGGAGGGAGGAGGAGAGGGGGAGGAGGGAGGAGGAGGGAGGAGGAGGAGGGAGGAGGAGGGGGGAGGAGGGAGGAGGGAGGGAGGAGGGAGGAGGAGAGGAGGAGGAGGGAGGAGGAGGAGGAGGAGGAGGAGGAGGAGGAGGAGGAGGAGGAGGCGGAGGAGGAGGCACCACGCCTCCCTGCACTTGCCCAGACAAGAAGCAGACGGCAACAGTTCTAGAAAAAAGACGGCAAGCCTTGTCCACGCATCCGGGGCAGCGGCGTCGGCTCTCCTCCGGCACTTTGTGTTTTTGCTGCCGCCTTCTTGTTGGGCACCTACAGGGAGGAGCGGTATGGTGTGGCTTTTTGTAGGGTTTTTGTAGGGTTTGTGGGTTTTTGTAGGGTTTTTTGTAGGGTTTTTGTAGGGTTTTGTGGGTTTTTGTAGGGTTTGTGGTTTTTTGTAGGGTTTGTGGGTTTTTGTAGGGTTTTTGTTTGGGTGTTTTTGTAGGGTTTGTATTGTGTGGTATTGTGTGGGTTTTTTTGTAGGGTTTGTTCGATCTCTCGAGCAGGAGCCTCATCCTCTCTGGGTTTGGGGGGACCTCTCAGGCGGGAGCGTCCTCCTGTTTGGGTAGTCTGGGGCCTCTCGGGCGGGAGCCTCCTCCTGCTCGGTGTTGTATTGCATGTCTCGGGCGTGAGTCTCCTCCTGTGTGGGTGGAACCTCTCAGGCGGGATCCACCTCCTGCTTCTGGGCTGTCTTGTGACCTCTCAGGCTGGAGTCTCATCCTGTTTGGATGTTTTGGGAACCTCTCAGTCGGGAGTCTCCTCCTGTTTGGGTTTGTTTGGGACCTCTCAGGCGGGAGACTTACAAGTTAGATCCAAAGTGTATTCAAGCTCGATCGCAATTAGAATGGTTCAGATTTCCGATCCAGAAAACCCCACTTGGATTTAAATTGGACTATGATTGCATTCCAAATGGAACGGATAAGATCACGGATCCAAGGGTTTCAAATAAATTGATTCCGCTTAGATTTCAGTTAGATTCCAAACACCACGGGCCCTGCAGGAGCCTTCGATATTTGATATGTGACTCCGAATTCTCAAGTATCAGCCAGCGCAGACCCCAAATGTATTAGAGGATTGAAGTGAAAAAGACTGAGGTGGACTGAAGCAGTCTGGACTGGAGTAGACTGGACTGGACTGGGGTGGACTCTACTCCACTCTGCTCTATTCTACTCTGCTCTATTCGAGTCTGCCCGACTCTACTCTACCATCGCCCCCACTCTACTGTACTCTGTTCTGCTCTACTCTACCAACTCTACCCCACCCCCACCCTAACCTACTCATACTCTCACCCTACTCTGCTCTACTCTACGAGGCTCACAGCTGTACTGCTGCTGCTGCTGCAGCCAGGACTGTAGCTTCTTAAGGGCCCGGACCACAGATTTCCAGGGCGCTCTTGTGATGGGCCTGTTTTCCACCACCACCACCACCATAAGTTGGAGGGGGGAAGGAGGAGGAGGAGGAGGAGGAGGAGGAGGAGGAGGAGGCGGAGGAGGAGGAGGAGGAGGAGGAGGAGGAGGAGGGAGGACCCCCCCTCCCCCTCCAACTTATGGTGGTGGTGGTGGAAAACAGGCCCATCACTCTTGGACACTCCTGGGGTGTTCCGGCGCTCTTGAGGTGTGTCGCGTGGGCCTCTGGGACGGTGACCCCGTCCAGCAGGATCCCCCACTGGGCGAGAAGGGGCCGCGAGGAGCCCCCAGGACAGTCTAAGAAGCCTCCGAGCCGCCCAAGATAGATGGCCTCAAGACGGCCCAACAGGTCCCCGAGACGTCCCAACAGAGTTCCAAGAGGAGGCCCAAAGAGAACCCCAGAGAAAGCACAAAGCGCCCCATTCCCTTCGGAAAGCGTGCATTTGTTGCGTATTCGCCTCTTCGCCTTGCACAGCGTCGAAGACGACCCAAAAAGCGCCCCAAATCGCCCCAAGACGGCCCCAGAGGCCTCCAAAAGGGTTCCAAGACGGCCCAAGAGGGCCCCAAGACTGCCCAAGACGGCCCCCAGACGGCCCAACAAAATTCCAGAACGGCTACAAGAGGGGTCCTAGATGGAGAGCCCGAGCGGACATTTCGAGCCCTCGGCCCCGAGGGGCCTCGAAGAGGCCCGAAGAAGTCCCCAAGAGGCCCCCAAGAGGTTCCAAGAGGCCCCCAAGAGGCCCCCAAGAGGCCCCAAAGAGGCTCCCAATGGGGCCCCCGACCCGCCCCCAAGAGGCCCCCGAGAGCGCTTTGAAGAGACCCCAAGAAGCATCCCTGATAACTCTGACCCACAACCCAAGCACGGTGGCGGGATGAGCCGAAGGCCGACGTTGCTCTACTATGTTTTGTTATAATACTATTCTACTCTACTCTCGTATCATCACGCTGCTTTATTATCTACCCGACTCTGCCCTACACGACTCTGCTTTACTCGACCCAACTCTATATATCTCCAACCCTAGCCTACTCGACCATCGTTTTTTCAATGTTATGCTGCTCTGTTCTGCCATACTCCACGTGCAATCATGATACACGCCCACGCAACTCTGGTCTGACACCCTCGAATCTACTCACTGTAGTATACTCTCGTCCACCCGGCTCTACCTACCAGACTGCACTCTGCAGTATGCCCTGCTCTAGTCTACCATCTACGCAACCCTAGCCTGCTCGACGATACTTTTCTCCGATCTCACTAGATTCGGCTCTACTCTGGTTCTCCTCTACTCCGACTCTGCTCTACTCTACTCTGGTAGAGCATCCTCTACTCTACTCTGCTCAACTCTATTGTACTCTGCTATGTGCGACTCTACTCTTCTTTTTTTTTTCTGTTTCCAGCCATTGGCTTTACCTGTACTTAATTCTCTGCTGTAACTCTGTCGGTCTCTCTTGACCGCACAGCTGGTACTTCACCTTTCTGAAGCCTGCGCAGGGCCCGTTTCCCGTGTGCTGTCGGTCGGCCCTGGCAAGGAAGGATGAGGTTCCTGGCCCCTTTCTGGGCATAGAAACCGCACTTCAAACAAATTAAAGTCCCATACAGCTGGTGGACTCCGATTGCATGTGAAACATGCAGGTCGCGGCCATTGAAGACCTGCCTCCCTGCAGGCGAGAGCACCACGTCTCTCATCAAACTCTTCACACAGGGAGTGTCAAGGAACCTATTCAACTCTCTGCTCGGCGCGGAACCTCCACACTCCCTGCATCGAACCCTGGAGCCTAAAATATGTGCACCATTGTGCTCTGTGATCTTGATACAGTGCGCTTCCCTCTTTTTTCTCTCCGACAGGGCCCTACTACTCGGCTGGTGTCTGGGCACTGTCTCTATAATATTCTCTAAGACCTTGGCCAGATGTTTCCTGACAGAAAAACCTACAGCTGTTGCCATTTCCACCCTGCATCTGTCAGCAAAAGAGACTCTGAACTCCTCTGCTAGCCTGCTAGCTGCGGTGTCCGCGACAGCGTTTACAAAGAGGGTGGCTGGATCGACTCCCTGCTCGATCGCCTCTTCTGCATTCAGGTGGCTCTCCACCTTCAACACACGTAATCCCTTGCATGGGTGCCTAGCTAGTGTCTCTCCAAGACGACGCCATACATCCACATGCGTGTCAGGAAACTTGCCTACGTTTAGCTTCTCAAACATACCCCAGACTGCGTCCTCATCGGCCCTACTCTGCACCACACAACATTGATCTACTCTAGCCCCCTCTACCCTAAACGACACGACCCTGTTATCATCACGTATGTCTGCTCTCCAATCCGCATTCGCGGGGGGTCATGGGTGTGGGTATTCATGTGCTGCATGCTCTTCTGGAGACGGGCAGGGGGGAGGAGAGGAGAGGAAGGGGAGAGCGGAGGAGAGGGGAGGGGAGGGGTTTGGAGCGGAACAGCGGGGGAGGGCGAGGAGGCGAGCGAAAGGAGGCGTGACAGGCGGAGGGGATGGGAGGGGAGCGCCTGGAAGGGACGGGGACGACGACGACGACGACGACGACGACGACGACGACGACAACGACTGCCGACCAAACTCTTATCCGGGATTCCTATGCGGACACCTATGCGGATCCCGATGCGCACGGCGGCAATGCCCGGAAGGCATGGGGGGGTCGGAAACGTTACGTCATAGGCGGGGGGGCGGGGGCCATGACGCCCGTCATGCCCCAAAGAATCTGGAAACACTCTCCAACCCGCCCCTCGGGAGGGGGGGGGGGCGTCGGGGGGGAAGGAGGCGAAGGAAAAACGAGGGCGACGACGAGGACGGTCCCTGAGGTCCGAAGACGCGGAAAAATGCAACATACCGTGAAAAGTCACGGCCAGAGCACTGGACCTACACCATGGTTCGAGCCGGGCCGATCTGTGTAGGTCCTGGGGCCCGAAACTGGGCAAAACCGCCCGCTGTGCAAAATGCAGCGCCAGGATCTCAGGGGTGGTGGTGGGGAGTTCTTGAGTTCTGGATAGGGCCACCAGGTCGGGAACGGAAAAAGAAGAAGAGGATTTCAGCGCATTGCCTTGCACAGCTTTGCGGTTGACCTCTTGGGCCAGAGACCCCTGGACATCCTATTCAGAAGATCGCTTCGACTATCTGTTGCTTGTTTGGGCAAGCCTGGGCCAAACTTACGAGCTGCCCAGCTGCGTCGGACCCACAGGCGGAGGAGGAGGAGGAGGAGGAGGAGGAGGAGGAGGAGGAGGAGGAGGGAGGGTGGAGGAGGAGGAGGAGGAGGACGAGGAGGAGGAGGAGGAGGAGGAGGAGGACGAGAAAACTCCTCGGGCGCGGCCTGACAGACCACCGGCAGGCCGGCAAACCCCGTCCTACTCCGCCACGCCGTCCTCGCCTCTCGAGCTCGCCTGCGGCCGCACACGCACGCCTTTTAGAAGAACAGACAACCACACAAGCATAAACTGTTGGCGCTCCGCGCGGATGTCTTGGATCCGCGCCGGACCCCCCCCCCTGGTGCGCGGAGCGCGCCAGGGGCGGCGCCAGAGGCGCCGCCAGTGGGGGCCCAGGCGCGGATCCAAGATATCCGCGCGGAGCGCCAGAAGTTTATGCTTATGGCGTCTTTTCTTCTTCGAGCCTTGACGCGAGGCGGGGGGCGACGTTACCCGGAGGGTTCCAAGGGTTTTTTTCCGGGAGGGGGTTTTCCAGAGAGCTCCCCAGGGGCCTCGGAACCTCGTCGAAACAGGGGGTGCGAAGCCCCTGGGGGGCCCCTCCTGGAAAACTCCCTCCCCCAGAACTCCCTCATGTTCTAAGAACCAAGACAATGTTCTTAGAACATAAGTCCGACGCGTTACAACACGACGGTCCCAGCCAGAAACGTTCCCGGAACACCTCGTGCGGACCACAGGAAGGCCCTTAGAACATCCCTTGGTGGGCCTCTAGGCGAGCCAGGACGCTCCGCCACTGTTTGACAGCAAGGGATGGCTTGCCGTGGTGGGAGAGCAACGACATATGTACATGTACGCCCTCCGCGGTCTTGCCTGCACGAACGTCCGCGTTGACACGCACTCCAGGGGAAGCTAACCGTGTACGTGTACATATGATGCTGGCCTCTGACGTGGGCCGGCCACCCCTGATCTCCTCCCCCCCTCGGGCAGGCGCGGGAGCGCGGAGCCCACGGACACCCCCGGGGGCCTACCGCGGCGGGCCCCCCGCGCGGCGGCGGGGCGGCACGCGCCCGCGCCGTCGTCGTCGCCGTCGCCGTCGTCGTCGTCGCCATCGCCGTCGCCGTCGCCGCCGCGCGCCTGGCGCTTGGCCTTGAACTCCGCCACGGAGATCAAGCCGACCTGCGCGGTGGCGGGGCTCGTGCCGCCCGCCGCCCCCCCTGTGGGATCGGCAGGCCAGGGTGCAGGAGAGGGGGGGGAAGAGGAGTAGAGGGGAGAGAAGGAGGAGGAGGAGGAGGAAGAGGAGGAGGAGTAAAAAGAGGAGGAGGAGGAAAAGGAGGAGGAGGAGGAGGAGGAGGAGGAGAGAAGGGAGAGGAAGGATGAGGAAGGAAGGGGAAGGAGGAGGAGGAGGAGAGGAGGAGGAGGAGGAGGAGGAGGGGAGGGGAGGGGGAGGGGAAGGGGGAGGAGGAGGAGGAGGCGTAGGAGGACGAGGAGGAGGAGGAGGAGGGGGAGAGGGAGGAGGAGGGGGAGAAGGAGGAGGAGGAGGAGGAGGAGGAGGAGGAGGAGGAGGAGAGGAGGAGGACCAGGAGGAGGGGAAGGAGGAGGAGGAGGAGGAGGAGGTTGACTGTATGAGGAGGAACAAAAGGAGGAGGAGGAGGAGGATCTCACTCCCTCAGCCACTATCTTACTTTCGACGCCTCAGGTCGCGTGCGATGACAACCCTTGCTACACGTGCAGTGGGAGCCCCGCGGCGATTTGATCACGCCTGCGTTGGAGACACGGAGGGGCTCCGTCAACGGCCACAGAAACGCATGAACTACATTACGACCAGAACCAGAATGGCACGACAACTGCGTCGGTTTCTGACGACTCTGGCGCCGGTTGCTGGCACCGTGTGAATCGTTCACCCTTGAACGATCGGCGTTCTTCGTTCGCCAGATCGCTCTCTGTCGGCGGACTCTGGGCCACTGGCAGCGATCAACCCTTGAACGCCCGCGGCGGGGTCTTCGCAGCGTCGGCACGACGCGGACCAGCCGTAGAGTGGTACGACCGCTGCGTACCACCACTGCCTCTGTAGCCCCCCTCCCACCCACCCCCCGCCCCTTCTTCCCCACTCATCCTTCCTCACTCTCCTCCTGCATCTTCCACCCCACCTGCCAGTCACCACCCCTCGCCTTCCCCTGCATAGAGGCCCCCTAGATGGGATTCGAATAGATGGGGTCGAAGGATCACGCCGCATCGCCAACACATCGCCGACGTATCGTCAGTGCATCGGCGATGCATCGCCGACGTCGGCTCGGGGAACCACAGGCTTCACATCGAGCCGCAACGCCGATGCATCGGCGGTGCGGCGCGATCCTCCGAACGCATCTACACCCGCCCCATCTAGGAGGTCTAGATATTCCCCTACACCTCCTACACTCCCCGTCTTCTCCATCTACTCACCTCTCCTGTCCACCACCTCCCCACGAACCCTCTCCTCCCCCGAGCCCCGCGGGGGGCCGCCTCTCGCTGCGGGCCCCTCTTCGTTCCCCCCTCCGGGAGGCCTACCTGCTCTTGTGAATAGACGCCACGGGGGGCCCGAGGCCGCTGGGCCGACTCGCGTCGGGGGCGCGCAGACATGGATTAGCGATCCGTGGATGTGGCGCGCGGCCGCTCAATCCATGGATCCGGGGAGGTGCCCTCCTCAGAATGCGGCAGGTGCCGCCTCGTGCGGCGGCGGAATATCCACGACTTTCCACGAAGACGGGGCCCGTCGCTCATCCACGCCCCCTCGAGCCACGTTTGCCATCGTCTGGTCGTGACGGGGCCCCACCAAGGGAGCCGCATCCCCCGAGCTGGCCGTTCCGTGCTCGGCGTGTTCCCCAGTAGCCGGCTCCGCGGGGCCATGCCTTACCTTGCCTTATCTTACCTTACCTTACCTCCTGCATCCCGACTGGGAGAGCATCTCCTCCTCCTCCTCCTCCTCCTCCTCCTCCTGCTCCTCCTCTTGAAGACAGCGGGGGAGGAGCGACCGTCTGCCGCTTGAACTCCTCCTCCAGGTCATCGGCGGAGGATCCGCCAAACTTCTGGTCGATGCTGGCGAACCTGGCCCACAGCTCCTAGATGCTCTCTGGCATTGCATCGTATGTTTGTGACCACTTCCTCAGGACATGTTCGCGCTCCTCGCGCCCCACTCCCTAACACAGCAGTAAGTGTGCAAAAAAGAATGGGAGGCACGTCCCCTTCCAGAGGAGCGGGAGGGGGGGGGGAGGAGGGGGAGGAGGGGGAGCAGGAGGAGGAGGAGGAGGAGGACAGGATGAGCCAGAGGACAAGGAGATTGTCGAGGATGAATTCAAAAAAAAGCGTGGCTGCATGTGCGTCTTGTGAGAAGCTACTGTAAGTTGCTGGTGGGAATCAAAAAAGGGGGAACGATAGACACATATGTTCTGCCGCTTGGGAAGATCTTTAAGGAAGGGGACGATCGAGCACCTCGAATGTCGAACGTTCCAAAAGCAACGCCCCTTGCCACTCAAACATTAATGACGAACATACAAGACCTTCTAAATTCGACTGCCCTCTGCAGCGTCGTCAAGGCTTTGGTGATCTCATCAACCTCAGTTCGCACCCACGCCTTGGACACCAGCAAGGAAACTGATGCAAGGTGACCCGCTGGTCTGCAACCTTTCCCGGCATCAGTCTCCACCCGCCCTACCCTGCGCAGCCGGGCACTTCTGCGACGCCTCCCCTCCCGCTGCCCAGAGGCATGCTGACGCCAACTCATCTGACTAGCCAGCAAAGGAATCGCGGGTGCGCGCTTTCGTTTCTTGGTCTCATTCTCGATGTTCTGCATCTCGTTCTGCACGAGGGTCTTGTTCTCCTCCCGCCTGCGATCAGGTCGGGCATGTCCCCCCGACAGGCGGATTCGTGGACGAGAGAGAAAAAAAAACACTCCAGAATACCCCCCAAACAGTCAAACAATGCTCAACAAATCGTTCCCAGACTATCCTGGGACTGCCTTCGAGCACTCCTCCTGCAGAGGGCGCGTGCCCCGCCGCGGCCCGGCGCTGGTGCACCCACGGTGTGCACGTGCGCGCGCTCGTGCAGGGGCCGTGGTTTTTTCACCACCACGACCATAGGTTGGAGGGGGAGGGGGTCCTCCACCTCCTCCTCCTCCTCCTCCTCCTCCTCCTCCTCCTTCCCCTCCTCGTCCTCCTCTACTCCTCCTCCTTCTCCTCCTCCTCCTCCTCCTTCCCCTCCTCCTCCTCCTCCTCCTCCTCCTCCTCCTCCTCCTCCTCCTCGTCGACCGTCGTCCCTAAGGAGGTTAAGTATGTGCAGTTCCCCTTGGAGAAGCTCGTGGGTCCTCGGAGGCTCCCATCGGAGGGCACGTAGTCTTGGGACGTTGGAGGGGCCACTCGCTGCTTGGGGTCCATGGTCAGGGAAGTGGTTCACCCAGGCAGAAGCTGGCTCACGCAGTTCCACGACCTCGACAGTGCTAGTGCTGCCAAAGCGTGCGGGCGAGCTGGAGGACACAAGATCGTGAAGGTCCCACTTGAGACGGTCTGGGCACGAGAGTCTCGGAGGCGATATTCGAGGCGAACCACCAGCTGGATGTCCTTCGAGGCTCTTGCGAGTCATGCGGCGGCCCTAGGCCGCGAGGGCCTAGGAGCCAGAGCCCGTGCTCTTTTTCATGAATGGTGTGCCGCCCTGCTCGCGATGATCTCGGCGCTGGAGGCGCCAGACACAGGCACGAACGAGAAGTGTTTGCTCAGGTTGTTGGAAGGGATATCGATGGGAATCAGGGAGGAGTTGGATGATCTCTTTGGGTCGCTGTGAGAGTATGTAGGCAGCTTGCGCAAGGCTGATGCGAAGGAGGCTATCTTGGAGTGGAAGGAGTGGGCCAAATCTTCAGTCCAGCGAGGAGAAAAGGCAGCTCATGCGTTCTCCAGGGTTTCCCGCACGGACAGGTCAGCCCAATTCAGCGTAGCAGACGAGCAAGGCCGATTGCCCGTGAATGGGGAGCTAGCGCTCCAAGAGCTGTTGGATCAATGGCTACCTCTATGGCACAAAGAAGGCAGGCTGGATAAGAATCACCCGTGCCACTGGGACGATCTTGGACAAGTTTTACCGCCCATATCCTTGGAGCAGCTGCAACGTGTGTGTCGCTCTTATGGGGACGGGGCTGGGTTAGGGTGGGACTCCTTCCACCCTCGACGGATTTTGTTCCTGCCAGAAGAATACCAGTGGCGAGTGATTGATACACTACATGAGTTCGAAGATCGGCCTTGTGTTATTGCTGAGTTTCTTACGAATATCATTTTCTGGACAAGCCAGATGTTGGAGTTCGGCCGACAGGGCTGTTGTGTTTGTTCACCAAGATTTGGTCGAAGTGTCGTCAAAGCGTCTGCCGCACCTGGGAACGGGCCCATCGGGAGGCCTTCTTCTGGCGAGTCGGGGCCACGTCGGCCTGTGAGAAAGCGGGATGGATCCACAACATGTTGGCCCACTTCGGGAAGGTCTTGGGGACCTCGGCGGCAACGGTTTTGTTGAACCTTAAAAAATTATACGAACACATCGACCACCTGTAGTTATACCGTGCAGCGTGCCAGCATGGCTTTAAGTTGAAGTTATTACGTGGGCTGTGTGTGGTATATGTTGGGGATAGGATGTTACATTACGGAGGAGCGGTATTGAGGAGAGTGCAGGGCAATGGGGCAGTAATAGCAGGGTGTTCAGCCGCCACCACGCTAACGAAGTTGTTGCTACTATCGCCGCTGGCAGCCGCGCAGTCTGGCCGGCCACAGCTATGCATCAGAAACGTGATTGATGACATCGCGTTGCAGTCGGGCCGCAGCAGCTCATTGCGCCGCAGCTCGCCACAAGTGTTCAGTCCCTGCTGGCCAATTTCTCGGAGCTCGCGCTCCCTGTGTCGGAAAAGTCGAAGTACATGACTAGCGACCTGTCCTTGGATGTTGCCCTGCAGCCCCTGTGGGACCTCCCGAAGGAAAGTCGAGTTGAACACGCAAGGAACCTAGGCACCGATGCGGTAATGGGGTCCCTTCGGAGGGTGCAGATTACTCGTAATAGGTGGGACAAAGCAAGAGGGAGGACGGCCAAGATCAAGAAGCTCAGGGAGGCTGGAGCCAGTACGGGGTTTATCCAACGGGGTGGTCCTACGGCGTCGGCGCTGGTCCAGTATTATGGGGATTCCCCCGACCCAGCTTCACCACCTTCGATTGGGAGCTGCTGGAAGTCTCGGGAAGGTCCCCAAGGGCTCCACAGTCGGGCTTCGTCTCCAGAGCTTTGCTGAAGGGGTTCGTGTGGACCCGCTGCTGCTGAACGTTGGGATGGTTGCTTGCCAATGGGCGTCTGCGGTTTGGGAGTCGTTTCCGAAGCTTCCCGTCCTGGAGCGGTGTCTGGAAGGAGCCCTGGGCCGACTGGAAGGAGTTCAAACGCCTTGGAGAATAACTGCAGCCCCAGCCGAAGTCGCCGTTCTTAGTCTTCGCAGAATAGGTTGGAGTCTACGGTCAGGTGCGTGCCTGGTCACGGATCGGCAAGAAGCACTGGACCTTCGAGTTTTACCGCCAACACTGGTGCAGGAGCTGGCTATTGCTGGCGCACGGCAAGCTTCGGACCGTCAAGCTTTATCGTGTCGTGAGCCCAACGCCGAGTGGAATATGCCGCTGTTCTGGGATGGTCTGGTTGAACTGCTGCACCGATCCAAGGGATCCTGGACAAAGCGTCTCCAGAGGACGTTGCGATCGTTGATTTCAGGGGGACACTGGACGCAGGCACGGCTACACCACCGCGGTCTTGTAGGCTCAGCGAGGTGTTGTGTATGTGGTGATCCTGAAGGGTCCTTGTGGCACAGGGCGTACGAGTGTCCGAAGTACTCAGGGCTCAGGCGAGAATAGGTGGACGGCTTCCACAAGATGAGGACTAGGAGGGACCGAGATTGGGGGTACGACGAGGGGGAGAGGTTTGCGAGAGGCCTGTTCCCGTCGCCCGACTTGGCCTTCCCAGCCCCGATCAAGCCCCAGGAGAGCATCCTGTGGCACAACCGACCTGAGTCAGGGCTTGTTAGACGGTTCGGCACTGTGGGGCTCGGCTCCGTTTTTGGCCCGAGCGGGCTGGGCCATTGTGCAGGTAGATAGGTTCGGAAATCTTGTCTCGGCGGCCTATGGGCCAGTCCCGCGCAGTGTGTGCCCAAAAAAGAGCGCCAAGGATGCGGAGGACTACGCTGTCTCGATGCTCCGTGTGTGTGTGTGTGCTCTGGCGCCCTTTGATTTGTTCATCGATTGTGCAGGCACTGTTGGGACTCTCCGTGGCGGCGAAGGCTCGGGAACCCAAAGCAGTAGTGCGAGGACCCAGCTCTGGAGCCCGTTCTGGGGAGCGTTCTCAAAGGGGGACTTCCAGGTTTTCAAGACCAAGGCCCACTGCACCAGGGCCCAGGTTGATGCTGGAGTTACCTCAGAGTGGGAGTTCAAAGGAAACGCCCACGCAGACAGGTTCGCCAAGCAAGGCGCCGACGAACACGGCGTGGGAGTAGAGCAGTATCAGTTGTGGCAGGGGTTCAAGTTTTTAGTGCACGAAACCGCCCGATGGGCGGCCTGCGTGCACGTAGAGTCCGAGGGCCCGGACCATGACGACGTAATGGAGGCGTACTGGAAGACTCGGGACTCCGCCATTTTGGAAGACCCTGAGGCCCCAGAAGAGCCAGAGCCTGCGCCCCAGGCGAATGTTATTGTTAGGGAGGATCGTCCGTCGTCGCTCGTTGGGTACGGGGTGGGCGACGGGTGGGAAGAGTTTGCAGAGGCCAGTTGTTGGTGGCGATGCTACAACCTGCTGGAAGCAGATGTGCTCAGCCGCACTGCCCATGTGTCCTCTGTCGTCTTTTGTTGCCGCTGCGGCACTGTCGCCTCTGACGGGAAGCTCGCCTCGGGCCTCTCGGCGATATGCCCAGGGCAGGCCAGAGCTGGCGGAGTGGACCAGCTTCGGAGGATCAAGAAAGGAGAGTTCCCCTTGTACCGCGCCAATGTGCATGACTTGAGGGTCGGTCGGCCACACGGTGTGCTGCCAGCAACTCGCTCGAGCCTGCCTGAGGCCGAGCCAGGCCTGCCCCCAGAGCCGCAGGCCTCTGCCCAAAGCGTCGGGGCTAGCGGCGGATGGGGAAGGGCTGATCAGGGGGGGCGGGCTGAGCTCTTGAGGGCGTTCGGCGTTGGGGAGGGGGAGCTCGAGCTTGTCCGAGACCTCGGCCGCCTGGCCCTGGAGCGGAGCGCGGACAGCCCCGATGAGGGCGAGTCCGACGCCGAGCCATTCTGATTGGGGCTGGACCCCGCGTTTAGCGCAAACCCATACCATACCATACCATACCTCCTCCTCCGCCTCCTCCTCCTCCTCCTCCTTCCCCCATTGACTCCTCCTCCTCCTCCCTCCTCCTACCTCCCTCCTCCCTCCTCCTCTCCTCTCCTCTCCTCCTCCCCTCTCCTCCTCCTCCTCCTCCTCCTCCTCCTCCTCCCCTCCTCCTCCTCCTACTCCTCTCCCTCCTCCTCTCCTCCCCCTCCTCTCCTCATCCTCCTCCTCCTCCTCCTCATCCTCCTCCTCCTCCTCCTCCTCCTCCTCCTCCTCCTCCTCCCCCTCCTCCTTGCCCCGTCCAACTTGTGGCGGTGGTGGTGGAACGCCGGCCCACCACGCACGGGGTCGGAGAAACGCGCCGCGGCGCCGCTGCATCGGCCACGGCGGCGCGGCCCTCGCCACGGGCGGCGAGCGCACGAGACGGAGCCGGCACGACGAGAGGGTCGGGGCGTTGACCTAAGGAACCCCAAATTCGGGGATGGACAGACCCCCCTTTGGTAAAACGTGGTTTAGTGAAAACGACCTCGGGCCC